CGCGCACGCACACGCACGCACACACACGCACAGACAGAGTTGTTCTCATCATCAAATCCGACTCACCTCAGCAGAGTGTTTGGTGTCAGTTTTTTACCGGAACTACTTTCTACTGAAGAAATAGTCCTCTGTTCCAGCTCCTCTAACACGTGTGTGTGTGTGTGTGTGTGTGTGTGTGCGTGCGTGCGTGCGTGCGTGCGTGTGTGTGTGTTTGCAGTAAGACGGCTCTGTTGGAGGGTCTGGAGGTGGACCAGTACATGCTGGGAATCCTGATCTACGTGCAGAAGTGAGACCCTTTTGTTGTTCAGTGACTTCCTGTTTTCCTCGCCGCTCCGGCTGCTGAAATGAAAACTGATTCTTAAAATGTGTTCGATTCAGCTCGGAGTATGAGGAGATCACCATCGACCCGGTGTGCAGCTGGAAGCCCGTCCCCGTGAAGCCCGACCTCCACGTAAAGGAGGAGCCCGACGGCCCCGTGCTGAAGCGTTGCCGGACGCTCAGCCCCAGTCACATGGTCATGCCCAACGTCATGGAGATGATCGCCTCGCTCGGCCCAACCCCTTCCTCCTCCTCGTCCTCCTCCACCTCGGCGGTTCCCCCCTCCTCTTCCTCCTCGTCCCCAATGCCCTACCCCTCCTTGCCCGGGGGGGGCGGCGGCAGCAACAGCAGCACGACGCCTGAGTACCCCGGACCCGGATCAGGTAGGATGCTCCACCTCACAGCGGCGAGTCGACCACCTCCTGTGCTGGTCACGTGTATTAATCCGCCTCTCTTCCTCAGCTCCGTCCTTCCCCACGCTGTCGGCTCCGTTCTCCGACTTCAGCGGTCCGGGGACGCCCAGCATCGGCGGCGACTTCTCCTCGCCCGGCCCCCCGCCCCTGTCCTACCAGTCGGAGCTCTCCAGCGCCCTCCTCACCGCTGACAAACCCCCCCCTCACCCGCTGGCTGGACAGGTACATCATCATCATCATCATCACTGCTTTAGATTTGTTCTGACAACAAACACAACCTCCTCTTCTCCAAAAGTCGATTCTGTTCATCTGGACGTAGCGTTTTGTGTCTCCTTCCTTCCTTCCTTCCTTCCTTGTGCTCTGACTTGTTTCCTATCACTGTTTTCCTCTTTTATCTCCTTTCCTTTCTTCCATACTTCCTTCCACCCTCCTTAAATCTTTCCTTTCTCATCTCCTTTTTCCTTCCCTCCTCTTCCTTCCTCTCTTTCTTCCTCCTTTCCTTCCCCCCTTGTGTCCTTCCCTATCAGATGCCGGGCTCAGGCCGTATGGACTCAACTTCCCATGGTGCTCCTCTCCAGCAGCAGTCGCAGGGTCTCCATGGCAACTCGCAAATGGGGGGTGGCAACCAGATGATGCAGCGTAGCAACCAGAATCCCCGTCTCCAAGGCGACGGCTCCTTTGGACTCGGGGGCCCGGCGGATGTTCCGGAAACTTCTCTTGACGTGAGTAGAAACAGACTCTACTTTACTGAGCTTCTAATGTGAGTAAAGAACAAGAATGTGCTGGACAAAGGTGTTGTGATAAATGCCATCGTCACGGCGATAAACAACACGGCTTTAATAAACAAACGTTGTGATAAAACAATAACAGCAGAATAACGTCGAGCAGGTCGTTAGTAACCGAGCAGGTGAGTCAAGCGAGCGTCACGCTGATCAGCTGTGCTTAATCCAGAACCACTGTGTGAACTGAAGCGTGAGCGGGCCGGCGCCGAGTCTAACGCTGGTTGTCCTCGTTGCTCCTGCAGTTGCTTCCTGAGTTGACCAACCCGGACGAGTTGCTGTCCTACCTCGGCCCTCCGGACCTGCCGAGCAACAACAACGACGACCTGCTGTCGCTGTTTGAGAACAACTGAAGCGCTCGCACGGCTCCGGGGTCGGCCACGCCGAGACGTCACGGCAACATCCGAACTTTATTTTTTATCCTCGCCGCCAACATGGCACCGTCTGCACAGGAAGGGGCGGACCGTGAGGAGGAAGGAAAACAAAATGGCGACTTTTGAATCTAAAAAATCTTTTTGTGTGATTATGAACTCCATGGTAACTTTATTTTATTGTTTTTAATTGTGTTTCGATGCTTCATCCTTCATTCCCTGTCAGTTCAAAGAGGCGCCACAGCGCTGCTTTCATGTACCTGCCCCGCCCACAGCGATGTCACCCAGTCGCTCTTCGTGTAACAGCACAACACTGACATCTGATTGGCTGTCAGTGTTTTGGCTCAGCCCGTGATTCAGGTTATTCCAGTGCGGCTGGCGTCCTTTGCGGTTCCAGCTGTTGGTGGGTGTGAAACCCGTGAAGGCAGCAGTGTGGCGCGTCACAGCCGGGAGTTTCGGTGCAAAGATGGCTGCAGACGAGCTGTAAGCGGCGTCTTTTCCCACGGACACGCTTTCCTTTCTCACTGGAGATGCTGAGGGGTCCACGCCCGGCCCCGGCGTGCAACACGGACCTCCTGATGACCAATCAGAGAGAGGCAACACAGGCGGCTGTAGCTGCTCAGCCTCCTCCCCTCATGTTATGAGGGTTTTTTGTAAGCAGGCTGGTTGACCTTTGACCTGGCTGCGGTCTGCACATGTGGCTTACTCACATCTGGGCTGAAGCTGCAGTGACACACGCTGGTTCATCTTCATCATCATCCTGTGTTGTTGTATAGTGACTTAGAGTCCAACAGTTGTGGTGTCTCCATGGAAACCTGTACACGATGATTCAGTAACGATGCTCATAACATAAAGTTTGTAATTTAATAAACAGACACTGGAAAGACACGCAGAGGCTGCGGCGCTTTCATCACGGCGAAGAGCCCGAGGTCTTCATCGGGCATCGACGTCCACACCGCTCATTACTCGCGCTGAAACGAGTCCCCGTGAATAAAACAGGAAACGTCACAGATTTAATGTGACAGTAAGAAACGGGCTGGTGTTTGATCGACGACATGTTCGGTCAGAGAAACGTACAAAACGGCATCTCCTTAAATTTGCACATTTCTTAATGAACTCTGGCACGTTTTTCTCACAGGTTAGATTTTGGTGCTGAGGACATGATTTCCAAATAGATTCCACATCCACTTTATTCAGTTTAACATTCAAACCTCCGGCTCTGTGTTCAGTAAACTGTAATCTGGAATATTGTCGATATTATGTTATGAATTAAATCAAGACTAATGGAAAGAAAGACGATCTAAAAATCAAACTTTGAATGGAGTCTGGTGTTGGTGGGTGCACCTGCCTCCAACAATTCAGTTTTATAATAAATCATCTTCACGGTTGGTTCAAAAGCAGAATTAATCCAGTCAGGATCATGTTCTGAAATCTGGTTGTTCAAAGGGTTTTTTTAGTCCTAGACTATGGATTGGTAAGGATTAACCAATCCCAGCACCAGGCTAGAGACTGGATTACACAGGAAAAGTAATAATAGCCAAAAAACTAGAGGTGATAAACAGTGAAGAGAATGACACACTGCACCTTTAATATCATGACCTGAGGAAGGTAAACATGGCTGTGGATAAAAGGATGAATTCTCTGATAAAGGAACAGCCGTTACTATCAAACTTAGTTTCACTGATTCAGTGAAGCTTCATTAATATTGTGAGTTTTGGCGCCCTCTGCAGCCCAGTGAGAGTACTGGAAACCTTTAAAAACTGGGTTACCCAAACGGGATGGTTTGTATCCAGATTACATCTTTTAAACAGCTGAGCCCAGGATTAAATCCAGATATGTGAGTTTTTATTTTATTTATTTGTTTCACACATGGTACAGCAGTAATGCATTCCCATACACAACCTTCCTTTCAATTAAAGTAACACTGTTTCCATGCATGAAAAGGAGCAGGAAGAAGAATAAATTCTTGATGAAGGACGTGAGCGCAGGTAAAACATTCTGGGAACAAAATCGAGCAGGTGAAGATTTCTAAGATTTCATATCAGTTAATGAAACACGATCAGCTTATGTGCAGTGAACAGGAAGTCCAGTGCACTGTAAGACATAGCACATGCACACCTTGATCTGTTGTGAGGCTGCGTGGAGGGCGCTGAGGTTTCTGCAGGTTTTACTGCGACGGCTGGACACGGAGCACATTTACAGCACTGCGTCTTTGTTCCCTCTCTCACAGACGGCTTTCTTAGTTGAACTGATTCCTCGAGGCCTCTCCTGGTATTCACTGCTCCGTTATTTTAAGAAAAGCTGACCTTAAGGTTTTAAGCAGGAAGCCTCTCTCTCTCAGCACCTATGTGATGAAAGGTCACTGATCGATAGCTCGCTGAACAGCAGCTCGGCGGCATCGACACTGAACGATTTTCCCCGTTAAGCCTCTTAACTCTGACCTATGAATCATTCATGCAGCACAAAGGCTTCTGACTGGACGAGGAGCCGGTGTTGTGTGCACACAGACACCTGAGCGCACTTTACACTGCCTGTCACTCAAACACACCTGTTCCCATTTCTTTAGCTGAATCTGAAAACTGATAACAGTTTAACATAAAATAATGTTTTTGTACCAGTGAGCAGAGTCCCAAAGAGCTGTGAGCTGAAAACTTTGTAGATCTGGGAAGAACAGTTGTGAGGCCTAAAAGTGTGTCTGTAGCATCTGAGAGTCACATCCTTAGGAAAGAGGAAGAATCCACCCGACACAGTAGAGATGACCTGGAGCTTCAGCCAATCATCTTCTGTTCCCTGAAATGAGAACTGTTCCTGAAGACCCTCACAGAGCTGCTCACACCGTCAGGCTAATGTTGTGTTTGCAGGTACATCAGTGAATACAACACTACATGTTTCTACATGTTTCACATTTTGAATTCAGAATCACTGCGTGTTTCACATTTTCCTGCAACTGATGGGGTGGGGGGCTCAGGACTTTCGCACAGCAGTGTGGGGGAATTTGACCCTTTAATCAGACTGTTACGGTGTGTTTGGGGTGCTGCACTCGTTCTCTGTCACTGTTTCCTGACGAACCTCCTGCAGCTGTGACGCAGCTCAGTCTGAGTCTGCGCGCTAAGCTGTGCTGCTGAACTTCGTCTCGAGCTGAACTTTTCCGCGCGCAGTAAATTTCCACGATGAGTAAGTCCGCTCTCTGCAGGAAACACCGGACCGCGCCCTGGCCGCGTGACCGCGCCCCCCTCCCCCGGCGGTGGCAGCACGGTCCCGCTGGCTGCCAGACTTGACGTTCACCCCTCCCACCACCTCGTGTGCTCTGCTGCCATTGGAGGTTCGCGTTGTCTATTTTTGTAGCGCGCGCCGCTTTGGCACTAGAGAGATTCACTTTTTCCTTAAACTGGACACCGAAACGGGGCGGTGCTCCGAGGACAGGAGCCTTCCCAACACCCAAGCCCCGCCCGGGCGGGTCGACCTGACATACGAATAGAACGCACCGTTAAACTCAGTCGTCCACTTAGAGAAAAGCTTTCGCTATTCTTTCTGCTGGTTGGATTAAACACGCTTCAATCAAATAATCCCGTGTTACTGACTGGTTCGCTGGGATTTCACGCCGCCCACTCGCGTCTTATATAAATTTTTATCCTCGGATCTTTTCGTTTCCTTGTGGTCCGTTGTGTCTTTTCGCCGGGAAACTCCTCAGTCCTCCGTCTCCAGCTCGACCTACTGAAATGGCCAAGCCCAGAGTTTTCTTCGACATCACCGTTGACGGTGCATCCGTGGGCCGGATCGTGATGGAGGTGAGGCTGCTGCTGCGGTGCGCAGGCCGGTAGTTTATCCCGGGGGTCGGTGGGGCTTACTGCTACTGAATTTAGACGGCGGTTAGTAACTGCTGCTGGGTGCCGATAGTCACCTCTGCCGCGGCTCTTCCTGGCAGCGTGGACCGGGCTTCAGCTGCTGGGGGCAGCCTCCTGTTTCCTTGTAGCATCACAGCAGCTAGCCGAGCTGTCACGAGCGTGTTGGGGGGGCCTTGTGCACGTGTTTGTGGCTGCTCGCCAGCGCCGCTCGAGGCGCTCCGGGGCCGACTGCAGCTGCAGAGGCCGCCTTTGGCGCGTAGAATGCAGCTAGTGTGATTTTGATGTCAATGTCAGCGTCCCGGGACTGAACGACTCTGGTTTGAATGCCTGTCTGCTCACAGTCATTAGTCCCCGGTTGATTGGAGACCAGCGGGTTAGCTGTGGTCGGAAAATGTCTCAAACTCGAGTCACATGGAGGCGCAGACTGGGCCCGCGCCCCTCGGAGCGAGTATTTTACCCGCCGACGAATGAACGATGCTAATGCTACTTTTATTGCAGGCTCTTTGTTGCGGCTGCGCGGCCTTCGCAGACCCGGGAAAGCCGCGCTGCTGTCGGTGAACTGTCGCCTGTGTGAGACGAACGGGGCGGGGAAACGCTTTTTCTGAGGCTCGTGTGATCAAACTTGAGTAGCCGGTTCTGTGGCTGTTAGCCACCGAGGCTAACTGCGCTGTTCCCCGTGTTTGCTTCTGGAATCTTCCACTGAGCTGGCGCGGGGGGAGGGGAGTTGAGATGCGGATGCGGGGTTACCGTGTGGCCCTTTGTTCCCGGTGTGAGAACCTACCCTTACGTAACCGAGCTGCCGCTTATGGGGCGCTTCGTTGGCGGGCTTATGTTTGTTTAACCAGGTTAACTGCAGGCTAAAAAAATAGCTAGCATGAGTGCTAGCCGTCCAGCCATTTTGTGCTTGTAGCAGCAGGACGTTATGGGCGTTCCCAGCATGCACGCGTTAAAAACGGCCCAAACCAGAACTGCTGCATTCCTGGCAGGGTTGGGGGGTTTGTGGGGTAACCGGAGCTTCCCAGTTCTCGCAGCAGATGGAGGATAAAAAAGATGAAGGTGCACACTGTGTTTTTGCTGAGCAGGCGCAGCAGTTGCAGACCTCACCCTGCTGCACCTCTGGTCATGCCTCCGCGGTGGCGTCACTGCTGTGGGGGCCCTGCAGACGCAGTGCTGCAGCTCTTCCACTCGGGCTGAGCAGAAGTCGGCCGGGCTTGCTACGTTTACCTGCAGCACCACGGAGCAGGGCGCTGTAAGGCTGTGGGCGGGCTGAGCAAAGTTCACCATGGCTGATAAACCTCCGGAGTTTGGCTGGCGACCATACGTAGGAGCTGCCGGCTGAGGTGGTGTCTCAAGATCAAAGTCATCCCTTCCCTCTCTCTGAACTTTGTTCCTGCAGCTCCGTGCTGATGTGGTGCCAAAGACTGCTGAGAACTTCCGCGCCCTCTGCACCGGTGAGAAGGGATTCGGCTACAAGGGATCCAGCTTCCACCGCATCATCCCAGATTTTATGTGCCAGGTGAGCTCAAAATGCAGGTTCTACAGAGAAAGTGAGAGCAGATTTAATAAGACACTACAGTACTCCTTACCTGTGTGAACATGTGATCTGTAACGTGCCTCTGATGTCATAGGGTGGCGACTTCACGAACCACAACGGAACCGGAGGAAAGTCCATCTATGGCAACAAGTTCGCAGATGAGCACTTCACCCTGAAACACACCGGCCCCGGCATCCTGTCCATGGCCAACGCCGGCCCCAACACCAACGGGTCTCAGTTCTTCATCTGCACCGCAAAGACGACATGGTACGTACGTGCTCGGACCCGTGCTTCACAGACAGGAAGTCAGACCCACGCTGGTGTGAAGTGATCCATCGGCACTGATGTAATATTCCTGCTCTGGGTTGTGCTGGAGTGTTTTATCAAATGACCAGAGGTAACAGTCAGAGGGTGTCGTCATCGGGAGCTGGGAGTCCGTCAAACATGACGCCGTGTTAGTCTTTCAGTTAAACCTGAAGTAGAACTGCTCAGAACAAAATGTTCGTGGAACATAATAAAGTGATTCTGACGTCTGAGACGGTAACGATGAACGCGAACGACCTCTAACCGCTTGGCTCCGCCCATGTTCACAGCTGCAGACGAGGTTTAATCTCACAAAGGGCTCGAGCGACAAAAGCGCTGATCTAAAACCGCTGTCAGCGGGTCGTCGTGGTTTAAACGTGCGCAGGTGTGGGAGGGGACTGCACGCGCTGGAAACACAAACTCAGCTTGCAGACACAAACAGGACTGACGCACACAGTAACCCCGTCCATGGGCTCAGCTCTAGTCGCACGGGGAATTTTTCTCGTGCGCTTGTTCTGCGCGTCACTCACTTCCTCCTTAGGTGATTGCTGGTTATGGCTGCAGTGAACCTGCTGTGGCTGACATCACGGGGCGGCCCCGTGTTTGGATTTAAATCTCTCCAATCAGCAGTGTTTAGTCAGGACGTGTCGTGGCGTGCAGACAGTTTCATGATGTGTTTGGTGGCGTGGGCTGCTAGTTTCCTCAAGCATCCTCTGGTGTCTCCTTGGCTGAAGGAGGTAATAAAGGAAGCTCGTTTTTTTTAAGTAGGCGTCATGGTTGGTTTTTAAGCTGAAGGTCAGAGGTCAGTTTAGTGTATTCAGACTGTTTGTCTCACTGTGTCCTGACGGCGCTCTCTGTGCCCACAGGCTGGACGGGAAGCACGTGGTGTTCGGCAGCGTGGTCGAGGGGCTGGACGTGGTGAAGAAGATGGAGGGCTACGGCACCAGTAGTGGGAAACCCAAAGGCAAGGTCGTCATCGCCAACTGCGGGCAGCTCTGAGCTCACCGCCCTTCCTGCCCGCCCGTCCTGTAGCTGCTCCCTGTTTAGGCTCCACCCCTCCACCATTCAACATTCCTATTGATGGAGACCCACCTGATCCCCCTCTGCCCCCCCCTTTTTCTTTTTTTTTATTCTGTTAAATCCTGTTGCTGCATTTGTGACTTTGCCTTTTGGAAGTTTCTTTTGCATTAACGTTTTTCCACAAAGTCTTGACGGTCTTTCGTTAAATCAAAGAGAATAAAACAAACGATGCCTTGACAATTGAAACGTGTGTTGTGATGTTTGAGTCTCAAAGCTCGCCGTCTGCACGCTGCCACCCTCGCAATCGGCGTGGCCATTTTAAATTGTATTTAAGAAGGACAGACGTTGTTCTGAACTTCAGCAATAAAATTTACCTGCGGCCGAACACCTGAGCTGTGACAGGAAGTGATGTCACTGTGAAATGTGTTCTAACACAGTAAATCTGGAGCGTTTCTGCTGAACTGTGTGGGTGATTGGTGTGTAATCTGATTACTCTCACAGGTGCAGGCCTTTCTAAATTGTTAACAAGTGACACCTGCTGGTAAAGCTGTGGAATTACACCTGAACAGGAGGGCGGAGCTGACACAGAGCACTGCACTCATCACAGAAACACGAGGTTAAAGTCGCTCACAGCGGCGGGGTGTGTGCGTGCGTGCAGCAATGTAGAAAGAACGTATAATGTGCATTGCTGTGGTGAGAACCCACAGGTGTGTGACTGCAGGTGGAGCAGCTCCACGCCTCTGCTGATGCTCTCATATAAAATAAACTGAAGCTTTTCCTCTGAGCGTGCTCGAGCAGAGCCTCCACCAGGAAGGTGTTTGGTATATCCAGATAACTTCACGGTTCACTCAGACCATCGTGGTTCTTTGTGCCGTAAACCTCACCTGCCTCGGCCTCACATTAGAATTAGAATAGATGTGCACTGATAAGGAATATTTCACTAAGATACAATGCAGCCACGCCATTCAGTGCCTCAGTACAAAGACTGTAGCCTTGGGAAGCTCCTCTTCTCTCCAAAGAGGAACAGACTATGCTAAGAAATTTGAGAAGCTCCTTGTTTTGAGATGCAACCACTGGTTTAATGGCTACGATGGATGTAAGGGGTGTGTGGATGTGGCAAGAGTTCATGTTTAAAAAAAAAAAAAAGAAAAGGAGAGGACATTAAAGCAGGACTCTAATAAACCTCTACTGCAAGAACGGCACGTGTGACTTCAAATAGATTGTAAATGGCCATGGAGTTGACACTTTGTATTACCGGTTTATATTTTTGTACTTTATAAAAATGTTTTAGTTTTATTATACAGTGTTATTATTATTATTATAAAGTATCCTTTTTGTTTACTTTTGCATGGAGAAAAATACTTGTTTAGCTGAGTTCTCTAAGGCTGTTACAGTTTGGCTCATTTAATTTGCACTACATTGCCTAAAAAGCATCATTTAATGTAACACTGTTTTAAAGTAACACAATAGTTATTTTTCCTAGTAATTACTTTTATAATATATAATAAATATTCTATATTTATATTTAGTCGGGGGTTGGGAAGCGCATCTGTAACCGGAAGGTCCCCGGTTCGATCCCCGGACTCTGTCCTGGTATGTGGATATGGCAGCCTCGCCTCTGTCAGTCTGCCCCAGGGCAGCTGTAGCTACAACCGTAGCTGCCTCCACCAGTGTGTGAATGTGAGAGTGAATGAATAGTGGCACTGTAAAGCTCTTTGGGTTCCTTGAAAAGCGCTATATAAATCCAATCCATTATTATTAAAATTGTAACTCAGTTACTTTTTTGAAGAAGTAACTGTAACTAATTAGTTTTTCAAAGTAACTTGCCCAACACTGGAGTCTATGGGGCCTGAGTCGCTGCTGCCTCTGGTGGACGTTAGAGGAACTGCAGGGTCACAATGCTGCTCAGCGAGTGAGTAATGAATAATAAGGGTGGAGTTTGTCCCACAGAGCTGTCAGTCAAACCCCACCTGTGCCCGCCCACACACCTGAGAAGAGCTCAGACCAACTTTCATTGACTTTTATTGGTTGAAGTGACCGTGATGGAGAAAGTGTGGCAGCTGCTGATTGGATGAACCTGTGATATGAGAAACATCTAAAACCTTCTACAGACTTAAATAAAGAGTTCATGAGTCCGTCAGCAGCTCCCCTCTGCCGTCCTCCGCTTCTTCCCAGAATGCCTTGTTTTCCGCTGGCCCTGCTTCGGCCGGGGCGCGCACACCCCCTGGCCCTTGTTTTTGCCCGTCTCTACCCGGTCCACGGCGGTGCAGAAAAGCCCCGCATCGCAGTCGCAGCGTCCCAGGTTCCTCCTCCGCTTGGTTGGACCTCGCAGCAGACAGGCCTCGCCCTCCACCGGGATCCGCTGGCACCGTTTGCCGGTCAGGTACCGGACGCAGCACAGGCCGTCCGCGCAGTCGCCGGACCGCACGCAGCTCGACATCTCCAGAGCTGAAACGCACACACACATGTTAGCACGCCCGCTTCCTGCTGCAGTGCACTCTGGGAAAGCAGCACATGCTCAGTCTCTCACTTTTGGTCCTGTTGCCGTCAGCGTCCCTCTGTCCTCCCGTCACTCTGCCCGCCTGTCCGTCCGCCTGTCCGTCACTGGGGGACGGCCTTCTGTCAGCTCTGTTACTGCAGCGCCCCCTCTGCTGCACACAGGCAAGAATCATCAGACAAATGATGTCATCCAATCTAGGTTTACTGATATCGCACCAAATAATAACAGTCGCCTTAACGCACTGTATCCTGTAGGGCAGTGATGCACAGCGGGGGCGGGGCCTCCTTGTACTTATTTATATAAATGTAAAGTGAATTCAAACTGTAACAGGAAGTGCTCATGTGTGATGTCACTCATTACTGACATGCACACTTTAGCAGCAGCGTTAGCAGTTAGCCTTTGTTTATGTCTGTGAATAAACTTGTTGAGGACGTCATCACTGCGTCACACTGAGTGAAGACGTAAAGTATTGATGTCAAAGTGTGTGAGTATCTGTGAGCGCTGCACAGACACGTCGCTGTGAATACGTGAAGCCTGCAGGTGGAGGTCGATGGAGGATCAATAAACCTTTATTATTCACTTTGTTATTAATTTACCAAATTAAACTCCAGCTAACAGGAGACAGATTTACTAGCGCCGGCAGGTGGGCGGGGCTAGGCGGTACTGACCGGAGGTGCGTTGCATTGAGTCGAAGTACATGGCGGGCTTTGTCGTCGGTGGGAGTTGGAATTTGTCTCCATCCTGTCGTCATGGGAACGATCCTAAAAGGTGAGAGAGTGATGTCAGAGTTAAAAATGGCGCCAAGCAGCTGCTTTTTTTTCTCTTGAATGAATCTTAAAAAATGAAATCCGTCCACACAGAGAAGCTGAACCCTGTGAAGACGCGCTCCTCACAGACTGATTCATCCATCAGCTCAGTGATCAATGATCATTGAGCTGATCAAGATCTTCATCTGAGACAACAAAGCTTCACGTGAACAGAAACTCCGCCCTGCTGCAGTAATGACAGCGTCACCTGTGCCTGTGAAGCGTGACTTTTGTTACCTGCTGCTGTACACAGATCCTTCACATCACAGCGACGGCAGGACAAAAGCCAGAAACACGTTTACCAGAAGTATTAAATGAGTGCATGCAAAGAGAGCAGGACACGCGTCTGCGCTGGGCGACGCCGTCTCGCTTTGTTTTTGGCCTTTAAGGCTCTTAAACTGAAAACTCAGCACACAGGAAGCTTTAACACTGGAGCTTCCTGCAGACTGGTGAAATGAGGCCTCGTGCACGAGCAGCGAGAGATCAGTCTAACGTCTCTAAAGCGACCCTGAAGAACCGCTTTCACGATTTCAGCGATTTTCTGTCCTGATGAATCTGAAAGTTGAAAACTTGCTCTCACATTTCATCCACAGATTTATTCAGAGCATCAGAGACTCTCCCTCTCGCTGCTGCTGCTGCTGCCTAAGCTCTGTTGTGTTCGAGGGGGTTCGTCCTCCCCACTGACACCAACACCTTTCTGTGGGTTTTCTTTGCTGTGATTTTGTGCTGTGTAAATAAAATTCAACTCAAACATACTGAACTAAAAGGATGTAATGAATTTTCTTTCTGCTGGAAAGATTAAAGGAAGCTTGAATGGACAAAGCAGATTTTTAAGTTGACTCCAGATGTTAAACATTCAAAAATATTAATACAATTATTTTAATAAATGTATCAAAATAATTTTTAAAATAAACGAATGAGCTTCTGTCTCAGGTTTGAATAATTAGATCCAACTTGTAGCACTTTATTGTGAACACCTGCTTATTTATCAGTTATCCAGTCAGCCAATCAGGAGGCAGCAGTGCAGCATGAACAGGTGAGGAGCCTCAGGTCGCGCTGACCTGAGGCTTTCGACGTCACGTAAACGGAATGCAGCGGGATGCAGAGTGTGAGGTGTCCTCGTCTTACCGGCAGCTCGGAGCTCTGCAGCGTCGACTCTTTGGAGGATCTGATGGTGTTTGAGTCCAGAGCCAGACCGCAGACCACAGACACGCACAGGACGCTGCGCAGCATCCACATCCTCCAATCGATCAGTGGATCAGTCGGGCGAAAACGGCTTCACAGCTTCTTCAGTTCCTCTGAGCTCTTCACGAGAAAGTCCTACAGAGCTGCGTTTCTTTCAGTCATCAGAGCGAACCTGCAGAGTCTCCTTCTTGCTTATCCGAATGAAGCTCGCCTTCTTCTACCTGCTGCCTTCAGGTGCGCTTGTTTTTTATACCCCTCCCCTCCCCTCTGATCTGCCCTCTGTCAGCCGCTGGGTCCTCAGAAGTTTTTGAAGGAGCTTTTGAAGCTCCAGCAGATCAGTCGGCGGAGACGGTGCCGCCGCCACTTCCTTCCTGGAAGCCCCGCGGCCTCTGGTGAGGCGGGAGTCTGTTTGATATGTGACACCGCAGAGACCACAGAGAGATTAAAACACACCTGGAGACACAAGACAGGTAGAGCCGTGTGTGTGTGTGTGTGTGTG